TGATCTTCGTAAGGAAATGCAAATATGTAGCATCTAATGTAACGATAACATGTGCTTAGGAAGAATGAAAGTGAGAAGAGAGTTGGGTTGAGGTATTGAAAGCGCAGGAGATTGTTGAATTTATGGAATTTTTCAGCTGAGCGGAACAGAGCAGAATTCAATTCAGCTTAATAGTGCTGAATTCAGTTCAAATCAAAAGTTGTAGTTCATTGTTGTAGTGCTGAATTCAGTTCAGCTTAATTTTGCTGAATTAGGCTTAGCTGAATGTTGCTGAATTCAGCTTTAAATAATAATTTGTACTATATAGCAAACCCAAAATGATTGTCAGACTATCCACAACCTCACATATTCGTGTTGCCAACAAAAATGCTCAGAAAAAAACATTCTTAAAGATTTTTTTTCTACTTTTATTTTTATATAACTACAACATATGATAATATCAACTGATGTATGTAATAAATCAAGCTCTTACTTGTTACTTTCCTTCTTCTAACATAAAACAAGCTAAGAAGACTTTTTATTTTATTTTCTCCACTTTATTTATGCCATTTCAAGTGATTTAATTTAACTCAATTGAATTCGTAACGCTCAGAGTTCATAATCATTATTATTATTATTATCATCATCTTCGTCGTCATTTGACAGAAGAATGAAAAGGCTGTTTTCCATTTCATACAATCATGAAAATTGCTGTTATTATGACAAATAGCATTGCAAATGTCGCGGCAGTTTCTCTTCTTCTTTCATGCTTTTTTATTTTACTTAAAACGACAGAACCCGCTAAAATCCATAATTGTCATGTATGAGAATGTGCTAACAGCTGTAAAAAAAATATTATTTCCGAAAATGAAATAATTTAGCTGTAGCGGTTTTCATGCGTTTTGAGGCTTGTTTTTTAGTGAAACGAGTACATTGTTGCAAATATTTTTGATTGTTGACTATAACTTATCTGTAAAATTAAATATTTGTAAGAGTGCACGTATTTTTCCAATAAATATTTATTAGATTCACTTAAATAGTAATGTGAAATTTGTCATTGAAATGTAACGGTTTATTGGAATTTAAATGATTCATTTTATGAGGAAGTTAGAGAAATTTCAAAATGGTGGATTTTCCACCTCAAAAAGTATTTTGTCGATATTTTTGTTATTATTATCAATTTTAAAAGTGCATTTATTCTAAGTTGTAGAAAAAAGTGGCAATATTAAGATCCACTCAATTTAACCTAGCTAATCAATCGATAAATGATTCAAAATCAACAGTTTTTGTCCTAGCTCTGCTAAGTTTGTCTTTTTGAATTTATATCTTGGAAACAAAATGCGCATTACTCATTCGCATCCGTCAAATTATCGACAAACTTTTTTCTGCACTCTCTTTTGTGCGCGAAAAGTCGACATCGAGCATTTGTCATGGGATGTTTATTTATGATTCACACACATCGCATTACGGTGTATTGAACTTAATAATTTTATGCACATTGACTACCAAAATAATAATAATAATTTAATAATGATGGGAAATACAGTTAATTTTTTGTCATTTGGCAATCGAACTTTAAAAGTACAAGTATAATGATAGCATCAAATTGTTGATTCATTTGCCCTGCGACTTTAATTAACTTGTTTCATGACAATTAAAAAAATGTTTTTTGTTGTTTGTACGCGGCTTAATTTATGACATGCTCGAACAATAGAAAATTAAAAAATTTAACATTGAAAGAAATCAGTGTGAAGACATCGAGCCTGTCGGAGCTAAACTATTATTATTATTTTGTTGATTTCCTTTCTAATCTATAAATTATAATATTTTATGGTGTTTATTTATGTTCGTGAGCCTTTTTGTTCTGGCTGTTATTAAGAAAAAATATCTCAATTCATCTTTCAAAAATCTTTTTCATTCCTTCTTCTTCGATTCTCTTTTGTTTTCTTGTCTGAGCCACCCACAAAGAGAAATTTTGTTTGTTATTAAGACTCATTCTTTGAATTATTTGAGTTAGAAAGTCATTGTAATTTAATTTTAATTCGTTTTACTGAAATTCAAATGAATTGAACTAGTTAAGCTTTACTGAACTGAATTCAGCGTTGCCGAATAATGCTGAATTCAGCACTGCTGAATAGTGCTGAATCCAGCTCAGCAGAATCGTACTGAATATTTAAATCATCAACCTACAAAAATATGTCTTCAAAATATTAAAAATCAAAAGAAAGCAGCACAAATGTCTTTCAAAAAGGAATTCGAAGTTAAAATGGAACTAGAACTGGTTTCATTGCACCCCCGCTTCTACACATATGTGTTTTTATGACTACAATTTATAATTTGTATCATCCATTAAATAGATCAATTTTTAATCATGCAACTCATACTGATAGATGTGTATTGTGTTTATGCTTCTGAAATAATTTTTAAGTTTATTTCTTCTTATTTGTGATGTTGATTTTTATTTACTGATTATTAAATTAAGAAGGGAGCAGCATTATTAAGTTCTGATGCTGACTCATGTTCATAAATTGCATCATTTATTGTTGCTACTATCTTGATGGAATTGATGAAGTTGAGCATCGGCAATAAATTAAAGAATTTTCATCATTATAACTGGATCGTCTGACAGTGAATTTTTTCATGGTCTCACGAAGAAATTGATGGGAAAAGGTTTAATTTCGAGTGGATTTGACGCATTTTTGGTTGATTGATTGAGAATAAAAGTGGATTCCTTCAATTTATTTGTAATAAAATTTTACAGGTCTCAAAATTAGAAAAAATTTGAAAATAAAATTCAAAATGGCGGGTTTATCATCTCAAAAAGTATTTCTTTGATATTTTGAAAGAAACAACGAATTTTTATCGAGTAAATATACCAAATTGTAGAAATAAGTGGCAACAGTTTAATTGAACTACATTTCAATCATTTGAAGATCAAGTTCTTCATAAGTTCCATTTTTCTTTTAAATTGATCTGAAATAGAGCCGGCTTTAGATGAATTATGAAGTTAATCTACGTCTATTCCACCTAATCTTCAAAACTTGTGTAGGCATTTAATTCTTACCTCTCTAAAGCCGTGAAAAATTGTGGCGCATATGCAATTATTCATGGATCATTGATGCTAGATCAAGAAAGAGAGAGTTGTATATTCTCATATGATAGAGTTCCCATTAAACTAGCACCCGGAAGCGAATGAAAAAAAAGGCACCAAATAATAACAATTTATCTTTATGATGGATCATCATTTGACTGTCATTGTTTTTTTTTCTCCTCTAATTTTCCGCAATAGCTACTTCATTTCACATTGTAAATAAAGCAAAAACAGAAAACAGAAAATGATGGAATAAAATCGCTTTCTGCAATAATTTTCGTGTGCGAAATCTTCATGATGCATGTATCATGAGGCAGAAATTTGTATCAAGAACAGTTTTGTTGTTATTATTTTAATTCATAGGCGAGCCGCGGCAGCATTTGAGCCAATTAGCTTCAATTAATTCTGTATTTAGAAGGAAAATTTTTGTGATGAGAACAACTTTTGTGATAGTTTATGAGTCATAATTTTGGCAGAAGATGCGGTTGTGGTGGTAGTGCAGTTGCTTTATGCAAATGAAGTGTCTACTGGCATGCTAATTTTTCTTTTGCCTTTTCAAGTTTATGCAATGAGTAAGTGGATGAGTCAGTATATCAATTGCATGAAGACAGTTCACTTAAAAAGTATTACAAAATTGAAAAAAATTCATCATCTTTATTTTCTTGGGAAAATTGAAGATGAGTTCAGATTTGTTGGATTTTTCAATTGAGTATTGGTAAATTCATCTTAGATGAGTTGTGCTGAATTTGTCTTAACTGAGTAGTGCTGAATTTGTCTTAGCTGAATAGTGCTGAATTCAGCTTTGCTGAGTAGTGATGAATTCATCTGAATTGAGTAGTGCTGCACTCAGCTTAGCTTAGTTGTGATGAATTCAGCTCTTCTCTTCACAATAAGTCAACCTAATGTCATCCAACCCACAATCCTTGAAAGTAAAATCGCAAACACTAGTTTTTAAGTATTTATCGCATTAGTTTACACAAATTAATCTGTATTCATTCAATGACTTCAGACGGAAAATATTCAAAGTTTAATAAGTATTTGCAAATCTACGGAAAGTCTACGCGATCAACGGAATAAAGAATAACTTTTTTTTAACTCATGTAAACATTTAAACAAGGCGTTTTAAAAATAACTTTAGTCGTTTTTGTTTTCTTATTTTTAAAATATTATTGTAGCAAAAAAAAGAAGTAGAATTCTCACGTTCATCATCGCAAGATGATGATAAATGCTTCTACTTTTGTAGCTTGAAAAAGTTTGAGACTTAATTGTTTACATAGAGAGAGAGAGAAGGAAACGGAGAGCGGCTCTTAGTCACACGAACAACACGAAAAAATGCTAATTTGTTCGCATAACGTATTTTTGCGACCTTGAAAAGGTTGAAGATGTAGAAGTATCATACTCGATCGCTTCTCGCTTTTCTCCTCGCATACTTACGTTATGACAGAATTTTTTTAAAAGTTTGGTAATCTGATCGTGACGGCTGATTTCCTCAATATTAGCATACGAAATGATAAATTGTTTAAAATTATTCTCGAGATATACATATGTTTTCATACTGGCTGTGCATCGATCATGCTGAGAGTTGACACGACTTGAGAGATGAATAATGTGGAAGATGCTGTATGGAAATTGTTTCAAGGTTTTTGGAGGATTTTAAGAGATTTTGCAATTAATTTTGTGAAATGTTGTTGATGAGTATGTTCAGTAACATTTAGAGTGTGTTCAGTAATAAAAAAGTGTGTTTAGCAAATTTTGGCACATTCAGTAATTATTGAGTACATTCAGTAACTTTTTGAACGTACTCATTTAAAATTGGATGCGTTCAGTAACCTCAAAAACCACTCAAATTTCCGTTACAAAACCACAAACATCCAGTCTGAAAACATTTGAATATCTCCATTATTTCATAAAAAATAACTTCAAACTAGAAGAACTCAACAACAACAATAACCATAAATTTATTTCCATTTTATTCATTGTGTCTTTTTCTTTCCATGTTTATTTTCAGGTGAGTCAAAGTCAAAAACTCTTCCGCGAATTTACATAGATGAGACTGAAGGTAAATTTTAATACACAGTAACAAACAATATCCAACGATTATTATGTAACATAGATCAAAAATGATTTAATTGACATGATCGATGTATTAATTAATGTCAATGATCGTAGTGGCTGTTATGCAGAACTAAACAGAATATACATAGGGATTTTTGTGGTTATTGTGATGAGGTCACGAATGCTGGCTTATTCATCATTCAAGCTTGGATTATGTATGAAAAATATAAATGGGGATACATGGAAGAATTTATGATTAAATCGATACAACCGATGAATCACAATGTTGATGTTTAATTTAATGTTGAAGCTCGTTTAGTGACGAAAAGGTCGGTTTTCCTGTAAATCGTGAGATAATTATTCTCAGAAAGTCCAAAAGTTTGGGGTGTTGTTGGCGTTCCATCAGATGATTTTAGGGATAACTCGTGGTTGTTGTGGAAGATTAATAAGTCCTAGAATAATGATTTTGTGAGTTTGCAGTTATTAAGAGAGTTCATGAAGTCATGTTCTAGTGTTGATAAACCAAAACTCACATCATTTTTAGCTTTGACAATTTTTGCTACTCTCTTTCTCAATTTCATGAGCGGAATGCTTGATTGTGTCCGAAAAACTCGTAATTTTCCATCAGGTCCACCAATAAACAATGTAAAGCGTATAGCTGCAGATTCTTTGTTCTTCTTTAGAATGAGAAAATGTGTATTAAATTAAGAATACTTATTTGATCGTCATTCCATACCTTAGGTTGTTCAGACATTTCTAAATCCTTTTAAAAAGTATTTAAAGCAAAATAAATCCTGTAGCAGTTCAACAGGATAGAAGAAAAATTCAAAATTTAAAAACTGAATATCAAAAGCTCTCTATAACGTATTTGAAAAATTCAAAAACATTTGTAAGGTTTTCATAAAATTTCAAATGTTTAAAGATTTCAAATTTCCAACGATCGTTATTTTAAATTTTAAATCTTTCACCATTATTACCTTAATTATAATCCTCTCGATATAATGAGCATGCAGAAGGTCACCATAAAAAGTTGCAAAATCATACGCAGCTAAAAAGAATCAAATACACTTCATTAAATTATTTAAAATGACTGACTTTTTATGATTATAGTAAATAAATATTCATATTTCAATTCCCTGCTGCTTTTAATGATTACATTCTACAGAATTTCAATAACCATTCAATCAATAATAATATTTTAATACAGCAAAACAATTATGCACGAAATAAAAAGTGTAAAAATACAGCTTACATGCAACATTAATGAATGGAAAATTGAACAAATGTGCTGCATTCAATACCTAATGCATGCATGAGTCCGTATGGAAATAAACAGTCGGACAGGAAATGCTGTTGAGTTTTATTTGTTCGTTTGACCATATTATTTACATCAGAATACGTTTTTAAAAAAGAAATAAGTGACTCGAGGCATTAATCGATTAGAGAAAGACCGCACGTGGTGTAGTTTTTATCGTAAGTCAAGAAATCAGTTGAAGAGGAAAAAGTCAGTTTGTTTTGAAGTTCGCCGTTACTGATGATGGTTTATTTTTGGAAGGTGATAAAGGCGCACTCGAAGTTGATTGATCTTTAAATAATTCTGGAAGATTACACTGATTGGAAGCATCTGAAGCTATCGTAATGAGTTTTATTACATGCGAAAATCTTCAACTAGAATTGTTTACGTCGAAAAATACGTTAGATCTAGATAAGACCTTTTTCTGTAGACTAAACATGTCTGGTATAGTCTCGTGAGGTTGAGATAAATCTGTTGTGATGATGCAATTACCTAAATGTTCGTGAAAGTATAATGTTGTGTAAGAAATGACCTTTTTTGCTTCTCTGGTTACAAAATTCTCATATTTATATTTAAGAAAATTGTATTTATTGTTAAAATAAATCAGAAAATCGTTAAGATTTCAAAATATTCAAAAATTATACTACTCAACTTAAAGTTTTGCAGTAGACGTAGCTTCAACCCCGTTGAAAAATTAGGAAGTTTCGCTCTACTTTAACTGTATTTAAACTTAAATTAATGATTGAAAATTATGTTCAAAATATTTGATTCAATCATTTTATTCGTTCTAAAGTTGAAATTTAAATTAAAAAGATAAAATTCAGATTTCTGAAAGAATCGTAGTTTCTTTACCCTAATTTTCTTCACTTCGAAAAGTTTTTTGGAGATTACTGTAAAACCACATTGAATTAAAGACATTTTGAATGTTTTTCTGACTGAAAAAAGTAGCAAAAGTTGTTTTAACATTTCAAACCATAGATTAAGTTACTGAAATTAAGCAAAAATAGTGATTTTTCGAGTTTTATTTTTCATTTAAAAGTGAAAATATTGACATAATTAATGATTTCTAAGCTAAGAGTTTCTCAATTAATAAACACGAGGGAAAAATAATCAAAAAGATTTTGAAGATCCAAAAAAAACTCGTAATTCACTTAAAAATCAATTCTAAACCTGAACCATCATAAAATCTAACCCAATATGCTCAAAATCATTACACAATCTATCAACAAACTTCAAAAAACGATTTTAAATTTTATATTTTATTTAAAACGACGAAAAAATTAAGGCAAGAACAACAAACAACAAGAGAGTAACCTTGACTTTAAAAACGCATATGCCCCTTATAATGACTAAATAGTTGTGCCTCATATTTGTTCCCTTCAACAATTCAAAAACGTTGTTTTTTGATAAAAATGAGTAAGTAACAAAAACACATAAATTTGTAACAGAAAAATAAAATAAAATATCTGGTGCCGCCACAAAAGACAGAGAACGCCCTCATTTCTGTTATTAGCCCGCATGCTGATAACGAAGCTGTTTGTTGTTGCTTATTTTAAAATTCTTCATGCTTCTTGCTGTTCCGTGTGTGACTTATTGTTATATAACCATCTGAAATCTTAAGAAAAAAAAAAAGTCATCAATCGAAGTGACTTTAATTAATTATCGACAAGATGCAATTTATCATCAGCTGACTATTTCAGTTCCGTTCTATTTGGCAATCCGGAAAGAGCCTCCCTAAGATTTCGTTTAACAAACAACAAAAAAAGAATGTGAAAATCATAATCTTGTTGACACTAAGGTGACATTGTATGTAAAAAGACATTTGTCATGACGATGCATCTTTGCTTATTATTTGCTGAATAAAGTGAATTCACAGTAAATGCGATGATAAATGATTATTTCGGTTTCCGAGAGTAATTTGATTTAATAATCAGTGTTGCTTGTTCTTACTTATAATTTCGTAATAATACAATTTATCTAGCGGGAATAAAATTAATGATGATATTTGAGCCGTTAATTTAAATATTAGAAGAATTTACTCTTATTATACACAGCTCTTGTTTGTTGTAGATTGGAGAGTGAGAAGCAATTTTAATGGGATGATTTGATTTTTTTTGAACCATTATGAAATTTTTCGGTTGAATAATTTTGTGTATTTCGTACTAATTGTGATTTAAATGAGCAGTTCCAATAGCTTTTCACCACTTTTTCATATCAACTGTTAGCAAAGGTCTCTAGGAATATCCGGATCCACAATCTACTTATATGTACCTAATGGTATCACACTGATCCTAGGCTGGGTTGTCTAATATTACCTTATCCTACCTCTGGTTTCCTAGGAATGACCAGCAGGTCGTGGAAGAGGACATTCTATAGAATGGCAGAGTAATGTGACCCAAGTAGCTTTAGAAGGCAGCTTTAAATTTTTTTGCTCTTAGAAATGATTCATAGAAATTGAACCTTCAACTTTTCTTATGATTCAGAAATATTTTTAAACCGTTAACTAGCTCCAGAAGCCTAAAAATTGTGTTTGAAAGATTTGACCAAGATTCAAAGCCTAGTCAAGTCAACTCAATTGTTTTTCGAGATCTTTTGCAAGATTAGAGTCATATCGACTCCAACAGTGTAGATTTCATTACTAGATTTGATTACTAAGTTCTATCTACCTCAGATTCCGCTCTGCTCCTATTCCTTAAACTCAGTTGAAATATTATTTCCAAAATGTCTCTTCAAAATCCAAATCCAGCAAATTAGCAAGCAAATAAATCAAACATTCTACTCGACTAAACATCCAAAATACTCATTTATCTTTAGTCTCAAAGGATAATTTACCACAAACTAGTAAGAATATTGTTTCTCAAGGTCTAACTAGATATCAATTTCAATCCTCTACGCACATTCAATCACATCCAAATCGTATCGAATTAAAGAATGTTTTTAAAATTGAAATTCCCTAAAGAATTAAATATTAAAAATCTAAAAAAGAACATCAATGACACCTCGGAGAGTCATCATCGTTGGAGGGATTTGCCGGAAACATTTCAAAGAGACAGTCATAAAAAAATCATGGGAAATATCCGATTTTTGATTTCTTTTTCGTCAATTGCTGACACTTTTTCTTCGTTTTTTTTTTATTTCACTTCCGGACTTTACGATGATTGTTCTTTTTTTTACTGAACCTTGTTCTGTGCTTCAATAAATTGTCTCATAAACGAAAACTAGACATGCTTAAAAGGAATGATTTTTACGCGTCAATAAATTTCAACAATTTTCTTTTAAACTGAAACTTGTTGACTCGAGAGATGTTGCTGATGATAATTAATTCAAACCGTTTTTTATTTCCCTTATATTACTTTCAATACATTTAATTAAAGTGAGCAGCAGCACAACAAAAAAGTGTTGAAAAAATTAAAAATTCCATTTTTATTCTTCATTGGAATTGAAAGAATTTTGAAAAAGTCCTTTTGTGTGACTGATTGAGGGGCTACTGCGCATTTTCTAAAATTTTAATTATTTTTAAAAAAATGAATTTTTAACAGTTTTTAAACTTTTGAATTTTTAACGGTTTTCAAAAATTTGAAGTACATATTACGTTTTCAAAAAATTTGAATTATAACGGTTTTTGTAATTCAAATTTTAACGGTTTTTAAAAACGAATGATATGTAAATTAAAAATCAAGTTTCTTTAATCCAGCCTATTAAGATGACTGACTGTCAGCAATCTACCCAATCTGATGCTCAAGATTGCCTGATATTTAATATTTCACGACATAATTCTCGTTTGTATTGGAATTTATTTGCTTTGAGGTTTTTAAGGAATAATAATAACAATTAACATTCACAATTCAGATGCATTTATGAAACCGGAATGCTCAAAGGATTCACAACATGAAATTTGAGTCCTTTTTCATTTCTATCTGCAAAATGAGGGAATTTTTACATTTTTAAAAAAAATTCAAATTACAATCCAGAATAATTCATGAAGTTAAACGAATTAAAAAATGTTTGTATTTTAATTTATGGTTCATGTTCTACGAGTTGGAACAAGAAGTAGATATTTGGGAAAGAGAACCCGAAATAAAAAGAAATGATACCAGATGCAAGACAGGTGTAGAAACCTCAAAATTCATTGAATGATGCATAAATTTTTTGTTCCTACCTAAAAACACATAAAAATGGAAATAACCACAGAGAAATAAAAACATTTCTTTTTTCATTGTCTTTTTTGCTCCTCTTTATAGGCACAATTGACTGAAAATATCATTTTATTGTGCTGTTTTTTTGGGAGGTTCTGAATTTATTTTTTGGGCAGATTTGACTGAATTTACAGTTTTAAGATAAGACTTTTGTGAGAGACTGGATGTGCTAAATATTGAAAATATTTATAGATCGAATTTCAAAGCAAAAGTCTTGGGTTTCTGGGTGCGATTCCTTATTTTGTCAATAGACTGTTGCTGTTGGCTATGCTCAAATCTGTAGCTAACTCAGAAATGCGCCAAATTCACCAGCCAACATCAATCCAACATCCCAAACTTTACAATTATTAACATCTCACGTACTCCGACCATCAATTTCACTTTCAAACTCAACAACAACAATTTTTGGCAATGAAAAATTGCGATGGAACAATAACAATTTGCGGTTTTTTTCTCTAGTCCATTTTGGATGCAATAAATTTATTTTTAGTCCTGCTTCTCTTCTGCTCTCTCCTTCGTGATGACGATGCTGATTGCTATCGGAAATGAATCCTGCAGTGATGGAGGCTGCTTGCATGCCAGATGACTCATGAAATGAGAGAATATTTCATTTATTTTTTTGGTCCATATGCGTGCATTTATGTGATCGTGTTGAACGTTTAAAGGAATTTCTGGTTTTTTATTGCTAAAATATGTAATTATAATTTACAGTGTAAAAATGAGATGAGGAGCAAAAATAATAATAATAAAATGCAGATGCTGAAAGTATTAAGGGGAAGTTTGAGGGGCAGATTGAAGTTATGAAGCATAAGAAGCATCTTTATTTCCAATGGTCTACCAGAAACTGACATTTACTAAAGTAAATGACGATGAAGATGCAAGTTTTGGTTTTAACGGTATTTTAAAATTTGAATTTTTTGGATGAAAATTTTCCTCACTTCGAAAAGTTTTTCTCAATTTTAAATGCTTAAATGTAGCTTACAGCAATTGTTTCTTGACAAAGTATCAACAAAAAAGTGGCAAGATTCAGTTTCAGTCAAAACTTATTATTAAAACTCATAAACTCAAATGAAAAAATAATTTTTAAAATTCCCAACTCAACTAAAAGTCAAAATGTAAATAGAAGCCACAATTCCTTCTAAATCCAGCTCATAAAAAAATATGCAAGAAGAAATGATTTTTAATCACAATAGTAAACGGCAATATGGGAATTAAAATTACAAAAAGACGTAGAAAGTAGACGACTTCAATAAATAAACAATTGACCATGGTGAAAGGATATAGGAGAAAGGCAACTGGATGAAGAATAAGGAACGGGTTTTCAATGCATGAGAAATCTAGTCATTATAAAAATCCTTTACCCGCAATAAAAATAGGAATTCAGGAAGAAGGATGAAATGTTTATGGAAGAAAGGAACATAATCGCACATTTTATGATGCGTGAAAAATTGTCATATTTCGTTTGTGTTCCTTTTAATAGGAAGTAGATCGGACACAATAATTGACGGTGAAAAGGATTAAAATCCTTGTCAGTTCCATCAGCAAGAGAAAGTCTTTCTAAATTATTCATGCCGCTCAAATGTGCGAAAAGTGACAGTTACTGCTGCATCTATTTTTATTCTCACCTTTTTAAACGATTCCTTCTGTTAGCACATTTTAAAATCACAATAGGAAATAGAAGACATATCCAATTACAGTACTTCACACTGCTGTCACAAGAACTTCGGGCAAGGAAGAGAATATTGTACACAATAGACCTTAGCAAGGGGGAATCGAGAGAGTTCAATAAATCAATTAATAATGATGATTTAATGGCAAAATAATAACAATTTTCGCGTCGACAACAAAAATAGAAACTGCGTGAAGGCAAAAATAAAGTTTTTATTATTTTTATAAAAGGACGAAAGAGGAAGTTTTCGATGTAAATAAAATGGATTTTTCGCAATGGGAAGTTATGATGTTAATCCTGTTAGGGATGACAAATGGAATTTCTGGAAATAACGGCAGATTCTAAAATTGAATTTCAACTAAGTTTAAAAAAATTACATATCAATATGTAAAAAGTACACATCAATAAATGTTATAAAAAAGATTAATCTAAAACGTACATATAAAATGTACCCATCGTTACATATGATTTACACATCAGGACATATAAAATACACATCAGGACACATCATGTACATCTCATCTCGCCAAAATCAACAAATTTTGGTCTCATTTTACGTAAAACTGTCCAAAAATCAACAGATTAACTTCAATAAGACCAAAACATATGCAAACTTTCAGTCATGCAAGAGAGTAAACAATAAATCAACTCAATGATCCCTTTTTAACATCCTAGGGAAAAAAATTTACTTAAAAATCACACAAAAAAAATCTTTTTGCAATAAAAAAATAAATCTTAAGGTTCATTTCCCAACAAAAAACGAAAGAATGTCAATTTAATTTTTAAGCTAATTTTTCATCACTTTTTCATTCCCTACGAGACACAAACAAAACAAGTAACTTAAAATCCAATTTTTTTTTGTGTGTTTCATTGTTCCATAAGTATGTACATGAAAAATAGCTCAACAATTGAAGACTGTTGAACCGTAAAGATTCTCTCATGTAATCTGAGTGAAATGGACCCCATGTAGATTTTTATCCGGAACTATTTCACTGGAAATTGTCAATTTATCCATGTCGAGAAGTTCTCATTTCTTTAAAATTAGTAAAAAAAAATGGATGTAAGAAGAAAGAGAGAGTCATTGACGAAAAGAACATCCTAATAAGCAAATTATTATGCAATTTCTCCGCTGCGGGAAAGATCTCTGTTTATTGTATGTCTATACATGCTTATTTTGGTTTTAAATGAGGGTCCCAGACATAAATTCGTTCAGCTTCTTAAAGACCGTCCTCTACTTTCTAGCATATGATGAATAAAACAAGAAAAGAAAGGATTCTTTCATCCTTTCTATTGTTTGCATCCCAAATTTATGGACGACGTTGTTGCTTTTTAATTATTTTTAAATCTTGTGCATTGCATTACCTGGAGCAATGCACATCCCTTTTTATGTGATGTAAAGAGTCATAATAGGATTATTTTATGATATTTATTACAACACATTCAATGGAATCAGAAGAATGAGAAGAAATGTGTCCATAAGTTGGTAATTAATAATTTATGATTTTCTAACATTTTATATCCTCACAATGCGATTTATGAAATATGAAATATGAAACGAAAGGAAAAAATATTTTTTATGATTTATGGAGATCATTTTCCCATTTCAATGATGTTGCTGGAACTAGTTTTGAGGCTGCGTTTGGTTTTGATGTGTTTTTTGGAATTTTTGTGAACTAGTTTTGTGGATTTTGATGTTATTTTAAAGGATTTGTAAGTTGATACTTTCTTGATTACATAATAATTACAAGAACAGGTCTAACAGAAACCTCAAGTTTTTGAAAATATTAAAGGAGTCAGCTTTTATGATTCAAGCATCGAGTAGAACTACTGGCTGACTTTAATTTCAACAGATCTTCTACAATATGGTCCAATTTGGTTCAAAGACATGATCTAACCAAAGTGACTACCTCAAAAACCGAGAATCTTTAAAATAATTAAGTTTTAACAGCTCCTGACATAAAACATCGAAAAAATTAGTTCTAAGTACAACCACAGTCCAGTTTCAATAGCTATGTTGAGTGCCGTTCCCCGTCCTCCTCAACAGTGAGTCTCTCACACAACAAAAAAACAGACAATCCAAGCAAATTCTACATCACATCACATCTCTATGCCCAAGCGAAATGAGCATTTGCAGCGATCGTCATTGAAAAATAAAAATAAAATCCCGTCAGCAACTCCATTTGTAATAGAAATTCTATGACAGAAAAAAAAAACATTTCACTTTCTTTTGTTACATCGTCATCATCATCATCATCATATGCTGCAGCGCGCTATTCTCCTCGCATTTCTTCACGTATTTTCACTTAATAAAGAAGAATCAAAATCAGTCATTAATTTATGCAAATCATCGTGAGTATGTATGAGAAATGTAAACGAGGTTCTCTTAACTGTCGCGAAGGTCGCTATTTGATGCATATGCTAGATTTGTTTAAATATGCAAGAAGGTTTTAAAGACAAATATTATTATAAGTTTGATATGTCACGTTTGGTAATTGGATGGATTTATGAGATGAGTTGTGTGATGAGTAATGGAAAATGCAACGTTGAGTTTAAGATTTAAATATGAGATTGATAAATACTTTGAAAATATTATGGTTCAATTCCTTATAAAAATTAGAGAAGCGTTTATGTTGAGATAAAATATTACCTTACCTTTTTTTTTTGTTGAATACAATTTAATGTATCAAAGTTTTGCTTAACTTTTTCATAAATTACCAGGGGTGCCGTTTACTTATGACTTCCAGGGTGGGGAGTGGAGGTCAGCAAGATAACAACAATAGAAATTCCTGGAAATCGACTGTTCTTCTTTGAAAAAGTGAACGAACCCTGGTTTCTATACATTCTTATTTTGAAACTTAGAACTAGTTTTATTAGCTATATATAAGCAATTTGTCCAACAATTGAAAGCAAAGTAAACAAATTTTCATAAAATTTTACGATTAGCCAAAGGTTTGAATCCTATCAATGTTGAAACATTTAAGGACAGCTGAAACTATATCCGTTTTTTTGTAAATTTTTTATTTTTCAAAATTGTCCTTAAAAATACTATTTCCAACAGAAACTATAGCTAAAATTCCTGTTAGAAAAAAAAAACAAAAAATCTCATTTTTTATTCACAAAAAAAAGAAGAGCAACAACATCAATAATAATAATAATAATACGATCACTTCCTACAATAAAATATTTCTATTAGCTCTCTTCCTTTCCATGTCCTGCCTATCTACAATTTACTATTATTAAAATATTTTTTTTCTTCAAAGATCCTTCCGTCTTCCTCTTCTTGCTGCTCTTCCTTTTTTTTCTGCAACAAAAAAATAAATTATTTTCGGTTCTTTAAATTCTACAACATGCAACATTCGTGTGACCATGTGACACACCACACAATACATTTAAAACAAATGCAATTGCCACAACACACATAAAACATTTCTTATGTCTGTTGTGGACACATGTGCTTGTGTCACTCACACATATGAAGTAAGTAATACGATAATTAAAGTAGAAAGAAGGAATAGAAAAGTTTTTTATTTTAGTCTTGAAATATTTCTCGAGTCGAGTGGACGTTACGTCTTCGTGTGACTTAATTTTTTCTGCCTGATTCTGAAAAGATTTTGAAATTCTTTGTTGTTTTTTTTTGTTGTCATTCGCGTTGTAACTTTTATTATTTTAGTAACGAAAAAAAAAAAATGAACTGTAAAATGCGGAAAAAATATCGATAAAATATTTTATTAAAATATTTATTGCGTGATACTAAGTGTAATTAATAATTCATCAATTCTGCTGACTGCATATAAAAGGAAAATTGTTGTTGTAGAAAAAAATCACTATAGTGGAAGTGAATACACACGTAGAAAAAAATAATAATAAAATAATCGTAAAGTGATCGTTAAAAAGGGTCAAATTGTAATCTGGTAGGGAACAACAAATCACCCACAAAGAAATAATTATTATTATTACTTAAATTATTCATGTTGTCGGTTTGAAATGAGAAAATTGAAAATATTAAGTCTAATTACGAGTAAACACAGAATGAACATAATGTGAGATAATGCAACATAATTGGGAAAAGAAATGACAAAAGCTTGAATCACGACATTCAGCAACTAGTGTTGGTTTACCGTCAAGAATTGTGATACAAAGGTGACGATTTAAAGGTCGAGTGTTTAAGTTTTCTAGTGAAAAATAATAATTTTAATAACGAATTTTTAAAATTCAAATTTTAACGGACTTTTAAGATTTGAAATAAAATTTGAACGAAAGAAAAACTCAAAAGATAAAATTCAACGGACAAAACCAAAATTTTATCTTAAAACTCAAAGTGCAGCGACAAGAAAATATTCCGAAAAAACTCAATTCTGTTCATACAGACGCGAAACACAAGAAAACGATCGAGAGAACTAACTTGTGAATCCGGTTTTTGAATTTGAATTGGTTAACGAAAGAAGAAGAAAACAAATCGTTTCGCTGGTGTAGTGTTGTGCCTTTGTTGTGCCTCGTTGTGATTATTTACCTTCTGAACTCAACTTGAGTTACTTTTTTTTACTACGAGGCTTGCTATTTGCCGTGCCTTTTTTTACTGCTGCCTGATATTTTTTCTCTTCTTCACTGCGGAGCACACAAAAGTGTGAAATAAGAGCGCGCAAAAAAAAATCCAGCATCACAAAAAAATTAATTTATAATCAGGAACATGTTTTGGAATTCATTGGTTTTTGGTTGACGAAAATTGAACGGTAATTTAATTTTTATGATTAACTATGACGAATGGGACACTGATTTGTTTGATGTACACACACATGCATACATGCACGACTGGCTGCATTCATATGTAAACAACAGAAATTGCAAGGGAATCCGTACAAAGATTTTATTATTTTTGTGAATCATTGCTGCTATTTTAATTGAATGGAAAGTCATAAAAATGTTTATTGCTTCTGAGATGACGACGACGATGAGAAAAATTGAGAAAAACTAGCTTTATGACTAAGAAAAAATTTTGCCTACAAAGATGAAAAGAAGAACGGAAATTGAGGAACAATAAGAGTGAACAAGAGGCTTAAAAGTATTATTCTGGCTGTTCAATTTGCAGATTTCTTAAGACTCAATGAGCAATAAAAGTGGACCTTGATCAAACTGTATTTTTTTGTTGACTTTCAATGACTTTATGGGAACAAAATCAATTTTTGTGGTTCGATTCTCAAGAACTTGAGTTGCTTTTACTCAATCCACAATCCACCAATCTAGGCCAGGTGCAGTCTCAGTCTTATCATTATGTCCACAGATAATCCAATTTCACCACTTCTATAAAAATATCGATTAATCAAATATCTTTCACCAAAAAAGTAGTGTATTGATGATCCATCAAATACGTCAAATGAGCACTTATACAGCTGCAACTTCTTATCATTATGCAGTTTATCAAGATATGTAGACTTGTCATTTCCTTGGCTAATTTTTTTGAGTTTTCATTTCAATGTCATTTGTTGGTTGAATAATTTTATGAGCTGGAATTTTCAATATTTTTTTATAAGTAATTTTAAGATTCAAACTTAGCCATTTTTCAGAATTAAGAATCTTTTCAATTTTATTGTAGAATATTCCCTGCAAAATTCATAACATAAACTTTCATATTCAATCTATTCACAAAAATGTTCTATCAATTTCCTCAGCACTCAACCATCATATCTTTATCTGATCTCAAAAAGAAGCAATAAAAGTACAACGATAAAAATAACTTCTAAAGACTTACACATAAAATGCAATAAAAAATGCATATGGGCAAAAAACAATATACACATCTAAGTGCAATAAACACAAGAAGATAAAAAAGAAGAAAAACTCAAAAAGCTATAAATAAGGATTTTTACACTAAAAATCACATCATTGTAGCTTATTCACATTTTATTGTGTCTATACGCACACAAGAAAGTTGTTGTTGCACGCAATAAAAGAAATTTTAATAAAAATATAAAATCGAGATTAAAATAAGGCAGTCAATGCCAGCTGCCAATTTGTAGTTTAGACATAAAACAATCATTATCCATCGACCTAACAAATAAAAAATGCCACAGCAGTAAAGCAAAAAAAAAATCTTATGAACCCGTCAATGAATGAAATCTCAATAACCATGGGATGAATAAATATTCAGTTCCAATGCCTCTACAGAATGCATAATCAATTTTTTTGGTTTTCATAAATTTTTATGACTTTATTCTCAAAAATATAATAAAATAGAACAAAAAGAAAAAAAGGATCATGATGAAATTTTATGATCATATATTTAAAGAGGCTATAGAGGGAGATCCAGAGCTTAAGAATAGTAAAAAGGGGTTACATGTTGCAGCATGCATGCATTTTCATGCTGTGTTGAAGTGCTTCTGATCGTTAGACTCTCATTCATTCGAGTGGTATCATAATTGTAAATTCATGACATTGATTCCATTTGCATCTAATGAATTAAGTCATTGATAGGTCCTTTACCCTTGCAAAATGCAAATTTTATGCATGTTGAACACATTTTATTGTCAATTTTGATGGATTATTATTAACAGTTGATTAACTTTATCGAATAGTTACTTAACAATATTTTATTTGACATTTCTTCATCAATTAAATGATTAAATATGATGCATTATGAGAGCATTGCAATAAACATCAACAACCCTTTTCTAGACTGCTTGTTTTTGCCTCTTTTTTTGCTTTACATGAATAATTATCTTCATTTACATCTGGCATCTAATAAACAAAATGAATTGAAATGACAGGAAGTAATAAATTATGCATTGGGGTAGTCATGAAGCGTACTTTATGATTTAACTGACTGTTCAAATTTGAAATGAAAATCCGAAATTATTTGTCCACTTTAAAAAGTTTTTTGCTAAAATTCAATTGATTTTGAAGCCCTGGTTTATGTTTTAAAATGTTTTCGTATAGAAAAAAGTGGCAAGCATCTAAATTAATTGAATTTAGGTCAATTTGATAAGCAAGATGATGAAAACTTGAATTATTTCAAAACACGTGCTTTAAGTTTCAACGACATTTTAAAATTCAAATAGCTCCAACATTCAAACGATATTCATCTTCAAAGCACAAATTTTTCCATAAATCTACATGACTTTTCACTCAATTCATTTGCAAAAATAGCATGCAAACAACTAAAAATCCATAAACTCATTAACTGTAAATTTATGACCACCTATCGTCATAAACTCCCAAACAGACAGTAAAAAATGCAAGTCTACATTTCATTCTGTTGTAAAATTGCTAAAGAATTATTGCGAGTAATATGTTTTGTTGTACATCAAACAAATAAGTAAATATACATGTCATGTATGGATGGATAGTCTGTTGATGTGATAAGCCATGAGCAGACATACATACATGTATTATTGCTGATAATAAATAATACACAGACGAGAGAGAACATGTGTATTTATGACAGCGACCCATTCGTTCTAATACAACGCGATTTCTTTCATTAAACAGTAAAATTACTTACAGATAACAATAAGCAAGAAAATATTGATATCACAAAAAAACTGGCGAAAATAAACTAAACTGAATGTAAGGAACAATATAAGAGTGATAAAGCTGATATAGAGAAGGCTGATAAGGACTTACAAACACGCTTATTATAAGTGATTAAAGGGAAGAAAAATTAAATAATTATAATGGCACTGATACTGCAGACAGCTGACCAAACATTTGGTGATGATTCATCGCGTCGTCGATCGACATTTTATGTCGCATTATCAACGGAAGACTTGACATCACGTGAGGATGATGATGATGTGAAGAAGTCAAATGAAAATATTTATAATCCAAATTTAAGTGGATATTCATGTGATTGGAGCCTTAATGACTCAATTGAGAGTTCCGATATATTAAGAGAGAAATCAAATTACACATCAGATGATAGTAATCGATTAAAGCGTTATGGGATTGTATTGAATGGAAGTGTAAATATAGACGATAGTAATTTAGAAGTTCATGCAAATCACAAACGTACAAAGACCAAAAACATTACATCCTCAACGCCAATAAAGGAAATTGTAAAATGTAAAGAAATCGTTGAGACTTTAGTGCCCATAACAGTCACAATAACCAGTCCAATAAAGGAAAAATCAAAGACATTGCCGGTGAAAGAATCACAGCCGCAAACATTTCCACCCAAAAATTCATTCATTCTCAAGTCAACACCAAAAATATCATCGTCAATCAACTACACATCACTCTCAGATTCATCGGCTCTATTTCCACACGAACATAAGCCAACTGCAACGCCAAAGAAGTCATTGAGCTTCATCCGGCGTACACATTCGACAAAATTATCACGTAACAATTCGCTACTCAAATCGCTGACGTCGAAATGTGTTGAGCATTCAAATGAGAGTCTACCGGTAAATGTATATGACTTGTCAGTCGAGAGACTTGAATTGTATTTAAAGGCTGAGAATTGTGATGACTTGATGAAGGAGCTGTTCTTACGTGAACCACTTGATATATCGTCGTCGGATAGTTGCGAGAAAAATAATAATAATAATAATAATAATACTAATCATAATAATAAGGAGAACGAGGACGACGATGACGTGCATTCTGGTAAGAGGAACTGCTTTATCAAAAATAATAATAATCCTTAGATGTGTCCTTTTGAGTTTTGACTTTAAGGGCTCTTTGATGTGGTTGGGATGGCAAAAATGGGGTTTAGTGATTAGAATGAGGTTTTTGAAGTTATCAAGCATTTATTTATTATGATGAATTCAATCCAAAACACATTTCAATGTCCAACAACATTCTTCAATTTCCAAAATAAAGAACCAGCAAAAAATAAGCATTCTCAACCGTCAAATTCACTGTCAGCATGAAAAGATGTTTTCTTCATTTGTAATGCGATATGTTTTTTAACCATTTATCTTCTTCTTACTTCTCTGTCTACTTTAAACACTGAGTCAAAGACGGTTCCATAGATGGAAGTAAAGAACATGAATGCATAATTTAATGTATGTACACACGACACCCTCACATAAAAAGTAAATATGAAGAAGATCAACAATCTCTAATCAGACATATGAAAAAAATGCAGAGGATGAAGATGAAATTGATTTCCATTTCGTTCTTGTTGTTAGTTTGGAATGTTGGATGTGTTGGTGGATTAAGAGAAAAGAAGAAAGCATCAAATGAAATAGAAAAAATAAATATAATCGCGTCAATCTATAACAGCATGAATGAAATTTTCATAAATTTTTTAATAGTACCGTAAAGATCCACACAACAAGCTCTTATGCTTATAAATGCCAGAGTATTAAACATCATAAAATGAAGACAAATATTGAACTTTACCGTGAAGAATTGAACGTTCCATCTTTGGTAGTGTGAAAAATTTCATAATGGAATTTGATTTTTCTATTTGAGAATGTTTTGGTTTGGTTTGTGTGACTGAGTAGATTAGTAATGAGAATTAGGCAGTTGGGAATGTTCAAATGCTAGGCAAACGATCGTTGCTCCTTTTTTGAATCTGAATAATATTTGAAATTAAAAAATTTTGCTTGTTGGATCTCAAAAACGAAGGAAAACTTTGCGAAGTGAGGAAATCCACCATTTTGTGTTTTATTACCAAAGTTTGAATTTCTCCCAACTGTTGAATTTTTAAAAATTTATAGAAAATGCGCAATAATCTTCTCAATACCAAACCAATCTCTATCCAATTTTTCACACTAATTTCTTTAACATACACACGAATGTGTTTTGAACTTTTATGGCATTGCATTTATCGAGTTTCTTCCATTAGCTCATTGAATCTCTTCTTCATTCCCGTTGCTTTGCTGACGATGATACTTATCTCCTCTTGACTATTTTGAATAGAATTCTTTCAAGATGCATCATAGTTTTTTATGCTGTGTGTGAATATAGCATGCTGGATTGAAAGTAAAAAAATGTGTTTTGGGTCTCAGTGGCAAGTTGGGAATGGGACTGTTGAAAAAAATATAATTTTAAGCGCATTTTGAAGCAAATAGAATGATTAGCAATACTATTAAAATAGATTTAGATGAAAATTCATGAGATTCGAACTTTGAAGTTTGTAAATCTTGTTTGAGATGCGCAAAGTTATTCAATTGATTTAATAATACCAAATGCAAGACTAGTCAAAATGACAATTTCACTTACCCATATAAATCCTCATTCATAAAAATTCCGTTGCAGCATACACACTGAGAGCCAAAAAATCTAAGTTTTCATTCAAAAGGGTCCTAATAATCATCTTAGTGCAAGCATCACAATAACGAAAGGATCAATTAGAGATGTTTTCAAGTGCCACTTATAAACAATAGATGATTTTTGGAACTAAACGTTCACCCCTCGTTGCATTTGACCAATTTTTTTCTTCTTCTTCTCACTGATTCATAGCTCTAACGTACAATTATTTCCGTTTAGCCGGTAAATTACATCATCATCAACAATCGTAAACAGAACAGAGGACCTTTCTATTCTATTCTGTTTTTTTGGGATCTCCCTAGTCATCATTATCGTATTATTATTGTTATTATGTGTGCATGCATATCCCATTTGCAGTGAAATGAAAATCAATTATAAAGTTTTCAGACCTCTGTCCCTTTTTGCCTTTTTTTTTTCTTATGTCTCTAATTTAACATTTCTTTAATTTTAATCGTCCGAAAAATAAGAAATTATTGTAAATTTATTCAAAACTATTTCCATGAGATATGAGAAGTCACACAAATTTGAATTTTATTGTCGCAAATGGTAGAATTGAGGGGAGGGACAGCATTGATGTTGGAATATTATGACCGAATGATCGTTGGAAGTTAAAATTCTTTCTCATGATTTATAAGACTTCCTAGAAAATGCTAGCGTTGACAATTTATTTTATTTTAAAATTTATTGGTGTCTATGGCGATTGATCTACCTGAAAATTCTGTTTTGTACCTTACTGAATTAAATTTTGGTGAATAATTTTGTTTGAGACTTGAAAACAAAAAATGCGCTCCAACAGAACTTAACCTAAAAATTCCATTTTCTCGTTCCATTGGACACACACAGAACAATTTACCGTTTGACATGTCCAAAAGCATTCATTCTTAAATATTTTACATTTTAATCAGGCAATTGCACAAGTCGGAACTCAGTTGAGCAGAAAAATGACACAAAATACTGAAAAAAATAAGAGACAATAACTCACCATCTGGTTCCATAATTTGACACCACGAACGAAAATTCTTCAAAAACCATCTTCAACATGCTATCGTGTCTAATAATAATGTCCCAATCTAATTTTCCATCTGACTACAACAACTTCGTTCAACAATAGTAATTTTCAATTAATGAGACACTTACATGAAGATGTAAAGATACAGAAAATAAAAATTGTGTTTCTAGTTGAGTTCGGCTCAAGGAGAAGGGTTTCATGCACAACTTTTTGAGTAATAAGAATAACATATGAGATGAGATTAAGATGAGACTTGTCATTGTTGTTGATGCTTCTTTCGTTCTTCTTCATCTCTTTATATTTGTTCTATTGAAAACGAAATGAAATGCAGTCGTCGACATCCATCTTCTTCTTCTTGTTCTTTTGTTCGGGTGAAAATATAAAAATATTTTTTAGATAGCGAGAGAATAGAAATTAATGAAACTGTTAAAAACGTTGTTAAATTAATGTGACGAAATGCCTTTAAATAGATCACGAGAAAATGAAAAGCGAAACTTAGCTTAATCAAGGTTTCGAACCTACAACTTCATGCTACAAATTTTAAATACCACTTCAACTCTCTTAAATGCTTATTATCCGATCAACAAATAAGCTATTTAAGAACCATAACAATTTCGATTCTTTCTTTCCGTCCATCAAAAACGGAAAATTCCATCTTCATCTACACCTTGATATACTTCTAATTATTCTATTCATACCAAGCATAAAAAATTTACTATTTAGAAATAAAAAAATAAATAAAGAAGAGCGAAGAAGAAGCGATAGAATAAATGGGGAATTATTTTGATTAAATTACAGACGAATATACGCATTTGATGAGATTATGTTGAATGAAGCCTAAATTAAGCGCGGTCTCTTACATGTCCATCAAAAAATATGTATATTGTATTATTTAATTTTAGATGGAACCATTGAAAGTAAAACGACATAAAAAGAAGAGTGATATTGAGCATATGGATGAAAAATAAGGATTATTTTTGTTATTATTGTTACTGCCTGTCAGTCATGACAATTTTTTTTATTTTCCTTCACTTCGTCATTCATTTTTTTACTCGTTTTTTTTTTTTTTGATTTCACATTTTTCATGCTGGTGAACTTGTTTGAAGTTTTGGAGGCTGTCATAGCTTGTGTGTGTCTCTATATACTTATAGAAGCTGGAATCAATTACAATCAAATTTAGTATTTTGGTGTTTTTTGTGTTGGGCAAAATTTCTTAATAGAAACATGTTTATTGTGTGTCTTATAATTAGATTCGATATGGTGCCGAGCTAAAGGTTTACGCAATGGAATTTATTTGACTTGAAATTATTTTAGCGGGTTTTAGAAGGGTAAACAAGTTATGGTTTGACTTATAAATTTCAGAAAAAGTGAAAAAAAAATTCAAAATGGCTGACAAAAGTTTTAAAATACAATTTTAACAGTTAAAAAGTAAACCAATTTTATTCAAAGTTCTATAAATTTATCGCTGCCATAGACTATTTTCCTAATTGATCTAATATTAATCTTAATTTTGTTCTTAAATTCAGAATTTAAAAAAATACTTTTCGAAGTGGAGGCAAAAAAAAAACAAAATGGTCGATCAACTTTTCTTTAAATTTTATAATTTCTTGTCAAATTGAATTCAAAGAAATACTCAAAAATGCGCTATTTTAAAATAAACAAACACTTCAACATTCCTTACATAATCAATTCTTACATATCTCGTTTTATTTTTTAAACTTCCTACGAAATTAAAAAATTAGTTTCAATAGTCAAAGAAATTTCACGGTTATAAAGGACCGAATTAAATATTTTTATTTACATTCTTGATTGAATAATAAAAAAAATATGTTTCTGAATGCATAATGAATGAGAATTTTTCATCTCATTCCGACCGATCTGTTTCTCAGCGTACACAATTCTCCCAACATGGACTTGATAAATTTATTAAGTGGAAAGATGTAAAGTGAAAATTTACTGCAGTATATAATTCTATAACGTTCATTGAATAGATCATAGATGATAATCATTGGAGTTCATTACAATTTTATTCAGTTTAACGTTCAACGAGCATTGCCATTTCTCTCTTTTAGATGAAAACAAAAGTTATAGAGAAAAGAAATTTCGATGGAATGATGATTAATACGATGTGTTAAGTGAGAGATTGTAAGTTTCTTTTGAGTTTAAAGTAGAGTGTTGTCAGCAGTTTGTCACTAGAAATATATAAAATTTGGAAAATATTGCTTAAAAGCTAGATTTAAGATCTAGCCAAGGTTCAAATCCTTGACCCATAATTTCGATAGCTGATTGACTCATCTTCAACTTTTTGCATAAAATTATTTTTTTACAAAATCACTTCTTCCTTCCTCCATCCAATTCTCATTTGTTTTATGATCCC